CATAACCAGAAAATAACGTGCTATTATTATTCAACATAAAGAAATTACATTTACAGAAAGTGCAGTTTTGGGCAGAGTCATTTCCAGCTCCACATAGCAACCACCCAGAAACTCAATTACCTGAGCAAGTCAAGAAAGCCGGTTTTCAGGACAAAGGGATGGCATGGCATGGAGAGGGTAACCTCCATTAAAGTGGCATAGTTCGTCATATCTGACAACACACTGAAGAAAGTTATCACTAGTTAAGGGCCTGACCCTGCATTCCTTAAGCAGACAAAAATCCCTTTGAAGTCAGTGAAGCGCCCTGCTCAGATAACTATATCAGGATTTGGTAATTAATGAAAACTTTTAATTTCTTAAGTACATTATAAAAACCTTTCCCTGAAAAAAAAGAAAAGAAAAAAGAAAAACCAACCAACAACAAAACCACCTATTACATGTTATTCATGGCAACTCCTAAGCACACTGGGTTTGTTTCCAGCTGGAGCACTGGAGCTGTTTCTTACTAACTAGGAATTACTAAAAGTCAGAACCACATTGTTTGCTAATTTGCATTGATCTGCCGTAAGTGTTCTTCTCTAGCCGATGCCTAGCTGAAGGTTTTGACAGCTTTGCATTCGAAAGGTCAGTAACCATTCCTCAGGGCAATTTGCTTTAAACCTTTAGCATTTCACATGCTCCCAACAGCAGCGTGGAGCAGGACACGCGTGTTCGCAGCCTCCAAAAGGTCGCACTTCACAGCCCTCCAAAGAAAATCCAAATCAGAAATATTTCAACTTGTAGAAAATATCAGAAAAGCTATCAGACAACGATGAACACATTTTTCATTAGATTTAACTTCCACTCAAAAGGGCTTAAGAAACACAAATTGCAATGCATGTTTTCAGTCTGCGGCATATTTCAGCTGGAAGTTCTATGCTGTCACATCCAGGAAGGCTGCCTTATCTGTCTTTCCTCAAGAGGCGTGCTCGCTTAATGTTTGTTCAGGTTTTTCAAGCCACCCACCCCCCCGCCCCCCGGAATCCCAAGCCTCTCTCTAGGATGAAAACCTGAAACCCACAATGCAGAATTTGTTTGAAGTCTCATTAAGCAAGAAACCTCAAATTAAGTACAGCTCAGCGAAACAAAACATTTTTCTACAGAGTCACGTGGATGTAAAACAAGTATTACATACAAGTTCTCCCTCATTATCCCCTTTGCGAGCTGTTTGTATTCTGATTAGCGTGCTAATGATACAAGTTTCACACAGAAAAAGCAGTTAAGTCTCTACTTCAAAGAAAAATGACTCGGTGTAAGAGTACCAAAGCTAGGCTTGCTTCTCACATGCTGATTCTGTGAGCCACGAAGAGCAGTGCAGCAGCTAGTTAAATGCTTAATCTTCCTTTACAACAACAAAGACGGTAGGTGTTGTTTGCCTTTTGAGCGTACAGACGTTTTTGTTGCTGGCGGTGGTCTCACTGCAGATAATACGTGAGCTGCTCTCGGTTCACATCGTAAGAACGGAGTGCTGGTTCCTTTGAGCAAACGGTTCATTAAAAAGGAGAGATATGAAAATAAACTGCCCCTCCCAACAGAATCGCATACAAAGAAAATCATTCGATAATGATTTATGATCTACGTGAAGAATTCAAGCGCCGCAACAAAGTAATTAACAAGAAACAGAAAGGATAACACACACAAACAGACATTCTGAGCAATGACAGACAAGAGGTGAGTCTTCTGTTTTAACAAACTAAGCTACTTTTGGCTACACAAGAAATGAGGAAAATGAAAACAGTCCTTAACAGCAGACATCTTTGGTTCTAAATATTTCATACGTATTTTAGTATGTTCTCGTTGTAATGATGTAATTTCCACTCTGGGGACTTGGTCAGAGTATCATGTATTTGCTAAGTAACGTTAAGTCACACTGAAAAAAAAGAACAAAAGGAAAAAGGAAATTGTGCCGATCCAGGTCATGTTTCATTTTGAAGGTGTGCCAGAGAGTCTGTGGATTTCAATGGGAAGTGCACTGATTTTTGTGAACACAGTCAATTACTGGAACAGCACCAGAACTACGGTATGGGTTTGCAGAAAAATCAAACACCAAAGCAGGAGGTACTTTGCAAAGTATGTTTATGTACGAAACGATGAGGTTAGAGAGGGGAAAAAAAAAAAAACAGGATAAGGAGGGAAAATTATTAGTCTCAACCCCACCTCTAGGAAAAAAGTTTACTATATTACAGGAGTGACTTACTAGTAATATTACAGATCCTTTATGTCATGTCTCCTTCAAGCAGCACTAGTGCCACCTCTGTTGCACTTAGAAGAAATGACTGTTATCCCCTAATGACCCACAGCTGTGCCTCACGATGCAGGAAGAATGCTAAGGAATCAGCTATACTGCTCTATGAAAAAGGAATGATTCGAGACAGCGCAGCCTGAAAAAGAAGTTAATTTTGAAGGGAAAAAAAGACACAAGTCCCTCTCCAAATTTTAAGTTCTATTGGATGCTTTTTATTCATAGCTAAGGTCTCATTTCTGTAACACACCACCACAAAGCATTTATGCGTGACAGTCCTTAGAGCAAATGGGGAATTGCAGAGAGAGACAATTTTAGAGGACCAAAATACTGAAATTATTGACACAGGCTGACAATCTAAGGAAGCCTCTCTCACAACGCTCTAAGCAGGCTTTGCATTAGAACCAGCTCAAACACACTTTACCTGATTCAGACCAGCTGAGGTGAGGCAGTGGCAGCCGCCGCGCCGCACGCCCGCTCAGCCTGGAAGCGGCAGGCGCCATCTCGTGACCCCGCGCCGCACCGCTCGGGTTTCTCAGCACCTTCGGCTCTCAGCGGAGTTCCAGGCCCCACAGTAACCCAGCAAATCCTCGGGCTCTTTGCATTGCTGAAAACCAAAGCCAAACAGATGAGATAACAACTGCTGAGGAAGGCACCAGCCAGGGGCCGCAGCCTCGTCGATAGAGAGGAGGTTACACGCAGGCATTTTTCATGTTCTATTAACATCAGTTTGAATAAATAATTGCTTGCAGAGGCCACAATCAATAGCAATAAACTCCTATGCTTACAGCTCTCAGCCTTGGAGCAGCAGAGAAAACAAATATTAAAATCATCTATTAGTTTTCAGTTCAGTGCTTAAAACGAAGTGCAACTATTTCTGTTTGCCCATCCTCTCTCTTGCTTTCTGGTCCAGTTGGCATATTGTTCAAATCCATGCTTTTTACTGATCTCAGTACATTTATCTGATACCTACCTGGGAATTTTTTTTGTGATGCACTGTCACCTGGCACTGCTGGGTGTCAAAGGTAATGAAATTGTTACGGAGGTGAACTGCATCCTCGTGTGTTTATGAAGTGCGATCTGTAGAACTAGGAAAGAGGTCAGCAGTTGGCCCACAGAACCACACTAGTAAGAGTGTTTCTAGTGAAATACTTTGCCAAACCATCTCAGTAGGCTCTTTGGAGTTAACCCCTTCCTCCCAGCCTGGGTGCATTTCTGGGAACAGGGAGGAGGGAAAACACAAGGAGAAAGTGACATGCAGCAGATCCAGGAGCACCAACCTCATTGGCCAGTCCAGCATTGCTTCAGTTGTTTCTCGTTCCCTTCTGAAACCTCCAAGATCCCTCGTGGTGGCTTTCTGGCATTGGTCAGAGAGCTTAAAGTCTCCTGTAATAACCATAGTTGCAACTTTGGAGTTCCTTGAGATGCTTTCAAGACAACTCTACCCACTTCTTCATGACAACTGGGTAACCTAATCCAGCTCCTCAGCAGGATACTTGGTGCCTCTTCTGTCCTACATCACAAGGCTCTGTACCAGCCTGCTAACCCCCTTCCAAAAGGCTCCCTGCACCCAAACTGCTGCAGGCACATGTACCATCCCATCACACCTTCATTGTATTTTGTGTCTGCACACAGAGTTCTTGCTCCTCCTAGTCTTTTTCTGGCTGTGAACTTGCATTCAGGCACTTAAGGTGGACCCTCTTCAGCCTTTGGCAGCTTCCACAAAGGCCACCTCTTATCAACATGCCCCAGTATTAGCACCAATGACCTGTGTTCTCACACTCAGTGATGGTTTGTTATTGCCATCCCTCAACAAACTAGCTTAAAGCTCTGCCTTTAAACTAGCTCTGAGCCCTTCCCTAATGTACCTTGTCCCTTTCTTTGTTTCCAACAGCAACAAAACAATTATGAAATTTCACACCTGAGGCTAGTGAAGAAGCGTGTCTTCTGCTGCCTGAGGTCACAAGCTTTGTCCACACTGCGAATTTCCATTCAGCAGCTGCTCATCTATGAACCTTAGCTTCCCCTTCTTATGATCACTCCTTGGTTTGATCACTTGCCTTCACAAGGTCTCCACAAAAACCCTGGTTGTGTTCTGCTGTTCATCTTCCCTGATGCTCCAAGTCTGCTCCCTTGTCCACTGGCTCCTGAACTGTGCAACACAGTGCCATGCCTGTAGCACAGCTCCTGCAGGTAAGGTTAACGAGCCCTCAGCTCCTAGAAGAGGCACCAGACGCTCTCTAGCAGCAGCATCCTTCCCCACAAGGCCCCTCCCATGCATCAGATTGTTTCCCAGAGCTGGCACTGGGGACCAAGCCCTGCAGTGCATCCCCATCACTGCTAGACATTCCATGCTGTCTGGGAGCAGAATTTCAGGGCTCTTTTCTTTCCACTGCTGCACTCACCAACTGATGTCTGTCAGCTGCATGCCTGTGACCAGCTGAGAAGGCTGCTCCCACAGGTTGAACTGAGCTTGACAGTCAGCTGGAGTTTCTGTGGGGCCTTTGCCTCTCTGCTGTGTAGTGTTTCTGGGCTGACAATACAATGAAGGTTTGCAGTTATCCATAGTTACTCTTTTTTGAAAGCATTTTTTAAAAGGCAGCATGTCTGGCAAACAGTATTTCTGCACTTTAACAGCTACAAATATATTCAGTAATGTATTATGGTGGAACTATTGCTCACAGTGTACTTAACAGTACTAAATGCAATGAATTCTTACTATTTCAAGATTACCAACTTGCACTTCAAATAAATGAGTCACGACTTATCAGAATAAACTTTTATTTACTGCTTTCAGGATTCTTATTTTATACTTTAATGTATGCAACAAATACTGCTACATTCAAATCTATACAGATTTTCTGATATATCATTCGTGTTTTACAAAACTGCTTATAGATTTGGGAAATCTGTATAAATTACCTTTATTTACATGTAGTATTCTCAGCCCTAGCAACCTAGTCAAAGAATAAAACAAACTGGGATTTTAAATATCCCTTAAGACCCATTACAAGTTACATAATTTACATATCTTCATAGAGAGATGTGCTACAATACCTTCTTGCATATTTCTGAAGACTGACTAAACAGAAACTTGCTAGCCAAAGCTAGATGCTGTCATTTCCTCCGATCATATTGGTAACAAAAATTTCAAATTACAGCAAGCTGGGCATATCAATCAATTCTTTTTCTTTTATCATTAAGCTGACTAATCTTTTTAACCAGCACTTGCTCAAAAAAAACCAAAAAAGCATTAATATTAATACAAAATAATACCCACATTTACAAAAGAAATCAAACTAATATTTATATGACAGGTTGATCTACAATAAATTGCACATTGTTGGTTATGACTTTGGTTATATTGTATTAACAAATTTGGTTTCTAGACTAACAGTGGAGAAACAATATAAAAATGCAGCTATAGAAATTAGCATAACCTGTAAACATATTAAAGAACCAAATTCTGCCCCTGGTTATATGTGCAAAACTCCCCTAGGTTTCTGAGAAGTTTGCACACATCAGACTGCTGAACTTGGCCCAGAAAACCCTGTAAACATGTTCTTTATTGTTACATAGTGCAATACTGCAAGAATGGATAATAAAGGCCTCTAACTACCAGTAACTAATACTCTGTGATACTCATACAAATTTTGCTTTAAGATTAATTTGTTGCAAAAAGGCTGAATTGAAAACATTATCCATTGTTGAACTACAAATTTATCAAAAAAAGTGAACACTCAATAAACCAACAACTGTATACAAATTCTGACAAAAAAAGATACAATTTCTCATTACTATTCAGAATTATGCTGCTTGTGTCTTATAAAAAGTCCCGATTTTGTTACATTGTCTTAACAAAAGCAAGTTAGAAACAGAAATAATAAAATAAAAAAACCTGTAAGCAAGTCAACGTTCTGCAAACTGATAGCTGATAACACCAACAGATGTTCTGCAATGTTTTATCTAATATGCTGAATTATAAGGTGCTTTGGGCAGGTCTGTAGCAAATAGCCTGAAGCAGCACGGATGATATCTCATTACATGAAGTACATATTTTTAACTCATTAACAATTTCAGTCATTTCTCTCAAAGCAGCAATTCAAATTTACATCCTCTGCAAAGATTTCTTCACAGTCTTACTTCAGTAGTTTACTGCAGGACAGTCTGTCAAATACTGTAAGAAGAAGCAACTGTTTAAAAACATTTTAGCTGTTGACTTACTTGGCACTGGCCCATCCAATGTATGTTTTGTAGTAATTATCAAAGTATACAAAACTGTGGAAATGGCAAAATACGTTTTCAAACGTTAGTGAATTTTTAATACTTATTTTACAAGTGATACTATGAAGATTGAATACTCATGTGACTAAGTAAAATGGTAGTCCCTGGAAAATTCAAATCTGTAAACCCTTGAAATGAAGTTGCAGCACTGGACCGTTACAATTTATGTCTGTGGCTTAATCAACCCCATCAAAGCCCTGAGTATTTTCAATCGCTAGAAGAAGTTTATCCCATAAATCTTCAAATGAATCATACGGGGGCAAATCCAAGCGATTAAAGCTGAAAAACAGATGAAAATTCTTAAGTATTTCATCATTAACTCAGGGATATAGTTTACCTAAACTAAATACTTACCAGGTATGAGCTCTTGGCAATTTTTCAGGGGTACCCCACTGTTCAACTGTAAACAACTGTGGTCCATTTGAACCTGTAGGGAAGAGTATTTCAGTTCTTACCTGAACATATGATTCTTTTCATTAGCATTACAAATCATGAAATACATTGTTCTTTTGTCATCCAATTCTGACCTCTGCATGAATCAAATACAGTACATGCAATAATAGTCAATAATTTGAATCTACTTGAAGTATTTCTTGGTACATCTTAATTTCAAGAGACTTTTACACCTTAGAGTCAGAAGTCTAAGACCTAAATGCGTATGCACAGCAATTGGCATTGAACGCTTCACATGGAAGATAGTTTTATGCTGCATATGTTTTTTGTGTGAAAATGTAGACATATTTATCACAATGTGCCAAATTACAAAACCTAGCAGAAATTATTCAATGTGTACCTTTACCTAGGCTACAGCAGAGTAGAGCAACTGAAAACTTTTTGAAATGCAGCAGCCATATGTGTAACTCCACAGACTCAGTGACCTTGTGAAATGAACAGATGCACCTGAGGGAACTAGCAACTGCAGCTCCAACTACACCTGAGTCTTCAGCAACTGTTTTACAGTATGACATACCTGAAAGGTTTTTAAATCTAATAAACTCTTCCCATGTGGATGGGAAAGGCCTTTCATAACCATTTATTTAAGCTACTGAAAGCAATTATCTGCAAAAAGACACTGTAGTACAAAATCACTATGTTGTCAGAGAACAGGAGATGACCTGTGATGGTGGGTGCCCTCTCACTTCTACAGGGAGGCCACCAATACAAATAGGAAGCTCCCAAGATGGAGTGGCTCTCTGCCTCTAAACTGGAAAAGGCGAAACACGTTTCAGACTAAAGATGACTAGCAGTAATGCTAATATGTTGATCCATGAATACAGCTAAGGTATATGGCTTAAGGTACTCTACACAATACCTAGAAAATTATTGTGGTTTTAAAACTCAATATGAAAAAAAGAGAAGGTGACCATGACTCCTCTAAAATGAGTCTTTTGGTTTGTTTTTTATTACACAAGTTACACTTGTCAATAAAAAATATTTCATCTGTGGTTTTATGAAGGCATGAAAAAAAGTATATGCATAGTCACATTAAAAAGAAAGGATAATACTATAATATGTACTAAAATACATAGCACACCACCAACAAACAAGATTAATGAACTCAAAGTTGTAGAAGTGGATGTGGAAGAAGGTAACCAAAACACATAAAAAACAAAGCAACAAAATACACAATAAATGATACATCCCCAAATTAAAACAAAACAAGTGGAGAAAATCCTCCCACAACTGCTCACATACACAGAAAGGCAGGAAATACCAACGAATGCACAGTAACTATACTCTGTATATATACAGTGAATGAATTTGACAGATGAGAGCAGACACTGAGCACATAAAATATTATCAGGAAGATTGATATAGCAGTAGCTGTGGGAACACCTCCAGCTCCATGTTTGTTCAGCATGGAAGGCTGGCTAGAGAAGGCAACTAGAAAGAATGCCTGGAAGAAGGATGAAGCAGAGAAGTAGCTCTACAACTGACAATGCTTTTTACCATGTGATACAAAGATAAAACTCCCTTTTCACAACTAGGTGTGAAAAGCCTGTATTTTAGCTACTCAACTACTGAACTAGAGGCTTACAAGGCAGGGGTAGGGAGAAGACAAGAAATAGAAGAAATCTCATCTGTTTTGTCCCTCTGTTCTCAAACTTCACACTATTTTTTTAAGAGCAGAAATTCCCGGCGTGGCCACAAGAGGGAGACGTGCCGCTAGGAAGCGAGCCTCAAGAACGAAAGCAGCCCAGGCGTGGGGCACGACAAGCACCCTTCAAAGACAAGCAGGTATGAGTCTGACTGGGACCATAACTGGGATTTAGCGAGGGTGGCATGCTGGCCACCGTAAAGAAGAAACGACTGTAAAAGAAAGAACCAAAGCGCTGTGCTCACTGAATTGTTCACTAAGATTAAACAGAGATAGCAAAACTGTGACTTGGCCAGAAGGCTGCCCAAGGATATAAATCCCTGAGCAGAAAGGGGCTAAGAGATTCAACAGTTTATTTCCATCATTCCTTCCAGGATATTGTTTATTTGTCTAAAAACGCTTCCAGAGGCAATAGAATTCCTATAAAGTTCCATGTGCTGCAGTTCCAAAGCAGCGCCCATGGATCAGGTGTGAGAGCAGACACCTGGCTCTGCTCTGCTGCACACACCATCCTCCTCACTGGTACTCAACTCCTTCAGTGATGGAATGGAAAAAAAAATAATGAAAATAAAGAGAGGGATAAACTAGTCTAGCAGAAAACTCAATAGCTGATGGCAGCTGAAAACAGGTTTCTCACAAGCATCCCTGTCCTTTGTGGGCTGTCCTATCTGCTTGCCCACAGACTTTCCACAGCGGGCCAACTCATTTTAGCACTGCAGTTTGCTTCCCACTGCCATCTGCTTGCTTCAGTCTCTCTCCTGTGGGTTTGCTATTTCTCTCTTGGCTCATGCTCAACTCACATCATTTCAGTGGTCCACTTCAGAGTATATCCTTACAAACAGTTCTAACTGTGTAGGTGTGGCTTGGGGGCAGATAAAAGCAGTTTCAGAACTCATGAGAATCTGAAGTTAACTACTTATGCCACCATGTCTTTGTAATAGTATCTTATGTAACAGAATTTTCTTCAAGCTCACCAACGTGTGAGAGATCTTCAGAACTCATTTTAAAACAGAAATTAAAAAAAAAAAAAAAAAGGTAGTTTAAAGTCAAACATCATTAAAATAGCTGTATCACATTCTCAGTTAATTGTGAACACAATCTTACGTACTCACCATAAAGCTCAGCAAACCCATTCATAGGTACACGTGACGTGCCAGTAACAAATTGTAGTAATCTTATTCTCTTTTCAGAATCCATCATTAAGACTGCCTGTGTATGACAATGATTACAATTAAAGGCTTAGTTGAAAGGTTTTTAATTAAAGTTTTAAGCTAGTAGATTTATGCAACATACTTTCAACCCCTACTGTCTGTGAAGTTTCCTGATATTATCAACTAGCAGCCAAATTCCACTATTTTATTAAATGGAAGATTGTAACCTCTTCAGTGTAACTATGCCACAGAAGGCTACACAATAATATTTAACCCCAAACAGTTGTTTTTTTAAAAAGGCAAGTTCTCAGCAGCCTGTTACATTCCTACCATGCATCTCATTCAGTTTTCTTATTGTCTTTCTCAAGATTTTCAATGTACAAATATTTACCCAACTACTGATGAATCAACTACATGCTGACCTAACATAGCTGAAAGGGAGCATCTTCTGAACAGGTTTAAGTAAAAAAATAAAAATAAAAATAAAAATCTTGCAATACCTTCCAAAACCACTGTATTACTTGATGATTTATACTGTAGCCATTTTTGTATTTTGTATGTAGTTTCCAATCAGCTACATCCACATCTCCCAGTCCACACATCAGTAACTACATAAATGAAAAAAAAAAACAAGCAAAGTTTAAGTGTGTAACATTAAGTTTCATTATTATTTGTTTTCTTTTCTATGGCATGCTTACCTCCAACTCATTTTCATCAAAAATTTTAATCAGATCCTGAGGTATTAGTTCAAAAAAGCCCTAAAAAACATAACAGAAGCTTTTAAAATCAAGTTAGTATTATTTATGCATTTTTGTTTACATAGAATGATATTTGTGCGTTACAGAAAACACAGCTTAAGCAATATATCAAATACAGGTGTTTGAAATTCAGTCATTCACCATCTGGTTACAGGACCTTTAATTCTGCCTTATTTCACATTTTGTTACCATGCTGTACCGAATTATCAACTCTGATCATCATATATGTAATATCACTTATACAAATAAGAAAAAACTAGCTAGTTTCATTTAATTCTTTTAGTCTGATTCCATTTTCATTTATGCAGAATTCATTAAACAATTTGCATTACCAAAACAATTTAAGACAGAGAAAATTCAAAGCTGACATTGCAAAGTGTCACTACCTTTTTTATAGTTGTAACAATACTACCACAGACCTTTAGGATGTCACATTCTAAAAAAGCCTGTCTTAAGATTGGATGCAACAAATTGTACGAATCTTTTCTTTTTAAAATTATACCTCTTTAAAGGCTGCCATTTGTTTCTGTACTCTGCTCACAAATCTCCACTGAATTACAAGACTGTGGAAAAAAAGTGAATATTTAAATTAAAAACAATTTATACGCAGTCAACACATGGGCTTGATTCTTAGAGAGGCTATCCAGAGAGATACCTTGCACAGTGACCACTACTTACTGGATGTAGTCTCTCTTGTTCTTGTTGGTGACAACTATTTCTGATCCACCACTTTTTAGTTCGTGTTGATGAGTCTAGATGAGGTATACAGAATAGGTCTTATGTAAGATATGTACAACAATTCATGTGTTAATATTAAGTAATTCAGCTAAATCTTGAAGAATGTAGAATTTGAAAATTATGAGAAATAGTACAAGTTTCAGAGGTTGTAGAATAAATATTTTTTTCTAATATTTCTCTAATCATTTAGAGATGCCAGATGACAGCATGTTAATCTCAATTTTTTATTATTTGGCTACAATAAATGCCTTAAATTTGCATACAGGTTTTCAGTAGTACTGGCTTCACTAACTGCATTTCAGTGAATAAGTTTGATCTGCAAATATCAAGGAAAAACACTTACAGAACAATTTCAGCAATGACCTCCTGTAAATACGTGAATCTACACATATATCAGTAACTTTTTTTTATATCAGTAACTGATTTATGCTATCAGAACCTCAGTAGACAAATGTCAAATTTTCTATTTCTAACCGATGTAGTATTTCAGACTCTTAAGTGGAATCAATTTAGCTACACAAGACATCAAAGGCTATTTAGCCTACTTAGATCTTCCTGGCACCTGTAATTCAAAAAACCTTTGGTATTTCTATGTATCTATCCTGGACAACTTTCTATACTAAACCAAAATAGTTTATTCCATAGTTGTCTTGAACAGCTTCAAGAAAAACAAAACAGAAAACCCTATTATTACCTCTGAGAGAAAAATTTATGATTCCAATCATTTCCCTACAAGGGCATCTTTCCCAGCAAGTCAGACAAAATCAGTTTCCCCTCTACAAAGTAATGGGACCATCAATGTTTTAGTCTTAGCTGCATTTACAGCAACAGCCACATTTCAATGTGAGCGCTAAGAAAAAAGTATAAGATACTGTTTCTAAGGCTGTGCTCATTTCCAAGTCCTTGATCACATCACATCCTGACTAACAAAGGACAGCATGAGCATGTGCCAGCTAAAGGAATTAAGTTGAATAAACAAACCAACATGACTGATGGTCATGATGGATTTTTTTTGTTTGTTTTCTTAATACTGTACAGATGGTATTAAGCAACTATTCTCATAGGTCAAATGTTTTGTTTTACATTTTGCCTACTCTACTTTACATATGCATACTAACCTGTCCAAAAAGTTCTTCATCAACTATAAATCTGAGGTCCAGTTCCGCCGGATCATTTTCAAGAATCCATCGCAGAGAATTATAATATTCACTATCCTAGAAGAGAGAATTGCAAGTTTAATGAATGAATACAAGAGACTTACTTAAGTAGACACAGCAAAAATCAGCGTTTCTTAAACAAATACAACTAAATAAAAGAACTCCTAGTCTTCTGCAGACTGAGTGCAGTAGTGATTTCATTGTACTTGCCCATCAAAGCCAACAACAAATACTTCACTCAATACTGAAGGCAGATTTATGTTTCAAAGACCTTGAAAAGCAGATATGTTGGAAAGCACATAGCAACAAAGCCTTAACAGAGAAGTGTAGAGCTTAAAAAAAAACAAGGGAGAATGTGGTTTTAAATATATATACACACTTAAAAGTAATTAACTATATTTAAGTTTTTTATTTCCATTTCGTATGTGATACATTCTCCAAGCATGAACTATAGATCAGATTTTCTCCTGTTTTTTTTTCATTTACTTTCATCAGTATTCTCACATGGACATGAGAAACTGGAACATAATGCTCCCTTTCCAGATAGGTCTGTTGTCTTTCTACAGGAGAAACTCCTCCTTAAAGCATCACAGCTGTCCAGGACAATGATGGCTAACATTTCAGTGCTTGGTGGCACATTTAGTTTTAAAAGAACTGTGCCAGTCTAATTAATCTGGTGTGAAAACATCACATTGGAATGAATGGTTTGCCAACATCAGGTTCACAAACTAATGTAATGCCTAGCTGGTAACTGGATATCTGTTTCCCTCAAGGCATCATATCCGAACTCCCATCTTCAGTCCTAAAGCTTTGATGGACACGTTCCTGCTACACTAAAGCTTGATAAAGCAAAATGACCACATAAAAAGGCCCTTCAAACAGGATGCATAAGCTAGTAACTCACAAAAAGGCTGCTCTAATTTAAGTGCATGGGGAATGGTGTCAGTTCGAAAATGATTGTATTTAATCATTAATATCTCAAGTTCAAGAGTCAGTGAGAAATAAATTTAATTTGTTATTAAATTGTGTTCCTTAAAAGCACAGTTACTGTAAGCATCAGGTACAAAGAACGGAATAAATAAATCCTCCTTTTTTCTTTTACCAAACAGCTACCATGCAGGTTAGATATGGAAAGGTATTTTTATGAGCAGCGGCCTCTTGTAATGGGCACAGACAAAAAGGAAGTCTCTTTTCACAACACAAACTATCATTAAGCTTTTCTATACATAAGTATCCAACAGTCATAAGCATGAAGTATTGTCAGCATAAACCAAAATGAAAAGAAAATTAATTCTTGAAAGTAGGCAAAGTCCTTTGCTCATCAGTAGCGTGACACACAGATCATAGAAAGTTACAACCTGCAATTCTGGAATAGTAAATAGAAAATAAAGTTGTCACATTTCCAGCTAAAAACGGCTCTGTTACAGCTCAGTGAATTCCACAGTCTCAAATAGTCTGTACTGAATACACAGGCTCTACAACTGTACAGAACTACAAAGACTTCTGAAACTCAGCATCCTCAGGACTAGAAATCACATGTATCAACACTGCAATAGGACATCACAGCATGTTCTGAAGTCATGTGTTTTAGACATGTCTCTCATCTCTGTTTTTATTTTCCCTTTATCATCAGACAAGACTTCAGAAACTTAGGACATGAAAATTAAGATATGCACTATTTAAAAAAAAAGGACATGACAAAAACTATCCTATTACTCAGAAGCACACAGTAACTATATTCAGTATTCTCATGAGACAGCAGAAACAGTAATAAATACTGAATAAAAATTACTCTGCCCAAAACCACTCTGGATAATACCCATTATCAGGGGAACTAACTAAATTTACAAAAGATTGTTTTTTCTCTAAAAATACTATGCTTTATTAGTAACTACAGTTTTCAGTCTCTGGGAATACAGGTAATATGTTACTTTTTAACAATCAAAATACACAAACAAACATAAGATACAAGTTGACATGGAGATTTCAAAGCTGCTAACGCTTATATTTATTTCTACGTAACTTTCTGTCTAAAATATTTTCAGAAACATCATTGAATTTAGTCAAATTTTTCATCAATTAATTTAGACCGGAGTCTGTCTTTCATTGAAAGTTTCAATTCCTGTACAACTTAGGCTCACAGAACAGGTATCCTAAAAATTCCCTGAATTATGCATTTTTAATCTTCATAATGTCATTAATTACAAGTATGAAAAATTTAACATGAAATCCTAATATACACAATAAAGTAAATTACATACCACAGACTCCATGTCATGAAGTGTGATTGGCTTTTGGAGCATCATCTTGTAGAAAGGACGAATGAAAAATGCTTTAAAGGAGAACAAAAATATTGAACAGTAGGTAACAACATTCAAAATATGCACAATATTAATCCAAGTATTGTATTAAGTAAATACCAACCATCCAAAAGTTTGCCATGGTAAACAGCCATTCCAGCTACTCGACCTATAAACTTGAAATAAGAGAGATGATCTTCATTGCACAGTCCAGAGTTCGGGTTGATCTGCAGAGTATAATTATCTCTGAAGTGGAGGGGAGCAGAAGGAAAGAAACAAAAACACAATTTTTTTTAAAATTGGAACAGTTCAGCATTCACAGATCTGAAAGACATCACTGATTAAATCAGGTATTACTTTACATGAAGTTAAAGAAAAGTTATATTTGGATTAGTAATTTACTAATCCAAAATTAAATAATACTCAACAAAAGATTCTATTAGCTTAGCAGAAATAACACCATAAATTATCATTGTAAGCTACAGATATACACCACATAGAAGTGCTTAACTCCTATTAAAGTAGTTTGAATTATTTTGTCAGCATTATCTCTTAAATACTGCCTCTGTTCTGAAGGTAGTAGATGGCTGCAGATGTACGTTTGTGCAAGCAAAGATGAAAAGGCCTACTGCTGAAAAAAACAAAAAAGCAGGTTTTCTTTCCTCAGTACTCTTCTGCAAAACTAGTATGCACAAGATATTTCAGTTATTATCAATTAAATCCTTCAATATAGTTCAGAAGGGAGGAGAAAGAAGGAATGAGTTAAAAAAGAAAAAAGAAATTAAACTAATTCCATTTTTAAAGTATATAGGAGAGATACAATGGAACTGCCTTCCCTAGTACTCAAACCTTCTGGAACTACATTACTTACGTAGCTGAATACTCGAACAATCCATAGTAAGGATTAAACATCTCCTTAGAGAGAAGGAAGAACCATTCCCTGGCCACTCCTCCATAGTCTAAACCTTTTTCACCATCAAATTCAATCCAAAGTCTTGCTTTAAGGAAATCTGCTCTCTTCACAGCTATAATTCTTCTGTAAGAATCTTCAAGGATTGTTGTGCGATGAATTTTCATTTCAAATCTGTTTGGAATATCACTCTAAAAAATGACAATGAAGAGGAAAACAGATTAATGGAACAAATACCAGTGTCTGTAAACAGACAAAAGCAAATCCTTGTCTTAAATACTGTGGAAACATGTGACTGACAAGAGGTTCTATTTACACAAAATTCAATCAGCATGGAACACTTCAGATAAAGTTCTATTGATGTAGAATCCCAAGAAAATCACGTTAAGATAAATTCTTGTTAATAATAGCATATGCTCAGTTCTGCATGCACTAAGGTATGGAAACTTTTAATTCATCACATTCTAAGCTTGACTGGAAAAAGGAAACAAAAAACCACCACCACAACACCTCAGAATTTATAAATAAAATTATTTTAATATATTTTTCCCTGATTGATTTCACTTATAGTATTTAATTCAGTACTTTAATTGTAAGGGGTGGTATAGATTACAAACAAGCATTCCTAAAATATTCAGATAAAAATCAACTGACTTAAAATTTGAAAACAAATCACAATGTTCCTACTATTATATATGAAAGTATTTAAATTAAAAAAATATTCAAGGAGATGATACTTGCTGCTGACTTTTCAGAGATAAAACATTGCTTCCGTATTAAAATCACTCTATGAGAACAAAGTATTTTCTTGATTTCACTTTTTTTCAGCCAGTTCACTTAAGCAACTACTGCAGGCAAAATTGAGAAATTCAGTGAAAACAGGAACAGGAAATTTCAATCCATTTTGCACAATGACTACATTATGATGGTGCCATGAAACTCAGTGTAGCTCAGATTTTAAATGAATTTTTGAATGCAGAAATGCTTAACTGAAGGACAAATAAAGGAATCTGTCTTTAAATGTAATGCCTGTATATAGGCATATATATATATATACCCATCCAACAACAGTTTGATCCAAGCTGCAAACAAAAAATAATTAATTGGGATGAGAGAGAGCGTTATCTGTCTTTTCCCAAACTGTAAAATAATGTACAGTACTAGATATCAAATTTACATAGCATCTGAAATATACAAGTTTATTTCAGAAAGCTAAGAAGCATTTTAAAATAAAACACACTATTTTTAGTTGCAAATCACTTTTACAGAAAAAATGTTCAGGCAATTATAGAATCTAAAATCAAATTTAGATGATTAAAAAAGGTCTACAACAGCTCAATCTCAATTTAAATCAATCCATTACCTTAATTATCATTTGCATAGCTGTCAACATTTAAAAGACAGTGGTAAAGTATGCTTTAAAATCTGCGTATTTCTTAAATTGCTCTGGTTATACTGGATACTTGAGCAGTCTATGACTTCTCAGGTTGAGATAATGACATTAGAACAAACAGTAAGCTTGCTGACTGTGAAAACAAGATGCGTATGTAATTATGTAAGATGTACACGTCAGCTCAAAGTGCATAGGTTTTAGAAAGGCTAGAGATAAATTTGCGAGGTAAAAGGTGAAATAAAGGTGTCCATTAAAAGTCAACCATTATATAAAACATCCCCAAGGACACTAAATTTGATGGCAGTTGTCCACAGATGTTTTCTTATATGAACAACCAGATGCCAAGTGTTATAAATACAACAGTCACTGCCAGTTCAAACTACAGTTTGCAAATCAGATTTACAAACTTAACATTTTAAGGCTATAACAATTTGTTACAGTCATCCAGCCTGATCAGATTTCTATCTGAACAGTTTAAAATCTATTTGAGAATTCCTCTTTCCACATTCTGATTTCCAAAAACTATTCCATGCTATGACAATGATTTTCAATCTTTTCTGTTTACAGCCTACTTCAGTGTTGAGTTTTTAACCTTTTAAAATTTCTGTTTCCAATTAGATTACTTTCAGTTTCATGCCTCATAGTCACAAACCCTACTGTTAGATCAAATGGCAGTCGTAAGCAAGTTAATCAAGCTCCTGCTTCACAAATGTATGTGTAATCAGACAGTCCTTCTACATTCTCTAAGCAGGTCAGAGAAATACAATTTCTCTTCCCTTTAACCCATGCTTCCTTTGTGCAGGGGCATGCATATCTTAACCTTGTGCTGGGTTGCTGCTGATTACTAACCTGTTTCTTCAGTTTCTTTCTGAAGAACTCATACTTCCGCTTATAGTCCCTGGAGTAAGGCACAGCCTTTGGAAAAAACAAACAAAACCAAAAACCAACAACTGAAAACGTGTTCTAGGTATTCTAACAATTAATGTAAGAAACTGGTCTATATTTGTGAAGCATAAACTTTTTGAAATTCTGAGAAAACAGGAACACTTTTTTTTTTTTTAATAAGTATCAGCAGTATTTTCAATTTATGAATATATGGACAGCTCAAAAAATCTGAAAATTACTGTTTTGTTCAAAACACTTGTACTGATCATAATTTACCCCACACAGAATTTATCCCACACTTTCTATTAACTGATGTAACTGACTAAAATCACCGACTGGTCACAATCAAAGTGATTTAAATGTCTTTGATGACTTTCACAGTGTTTAGTCTTTCCATGCTCTATCATGAGAAACCTGGCTACAAACACCTCTATTTTCCATGGACAGAGAAGGTTGTTTACATATGTGTGCTATTAATAAACACAGATATCAGTTGAACACTAAAACCCATTCTATAATTATAATGTGTACTATCTTTGCAATTAGTCCTGGTAATTTTGCACTTCAGATAAAGTATCAAGGCCAGATCATTATTTTTCACTTAGAAATGAATTTCATTCCCTTTACAGACATTTTCTTTTTGAACTGATTTTTATTTCTGGTGTTTAAAGACCACTTCCAGAGAAAACCTAATAAGTCTTTAAAGAAATAAATATGCCTTGTTCAAACATCTTCAAAGTTTCATCTTGTAGATCTGATAAATGATGAGAGCTTGTTTGGATTCTATCAATCACACTCTTGAATAACATATAAACCTATAAGGAAAAGCTTACTGGTCCAGTTATTGCCACGTTCTGCAGTCGAGGATCCTCCCATTGTGTTTTCTTGGTATCTGCAAGGTATTTCATAATTATTTCCCTTAACTCAGACAACAGTAATGAAATGATGAGTGGTGAGAGAATATTACATTGTACATACTGTGGTTTATGAAGAATATTCTTCCGTCTGTGTGTGTTCTCTCCTCCCACCCCGGCTGTAAGGAGGAGATACTTAATTTATAATCACACAATTTGCATAGAACACAAGGTCATCAGCAGTTATAGGAATTGCTGCCTGCCCCTCCCATCAACTCTTAACTACAGAATTCAAAATTTAGTTTGTTGTTGTTGTGATTTGAAAAACTATATTTTCTAAAGTAGCAGGCTGCATTTTTTTCATGTACAAATTTAGATAGTGGCTGTTTAAATTAAATTGTTATACCTGAAAAACGAGTAAAATTTTATACTTACTGGTAATGGCCCTAGATCTACTGGATCTAGGGAAGTCTTTCTCCTCAGATGAGCAGGAATTTTCAGTCTTGGATCTTCCTTTGAAAACAAAACAATCAGCATGTTAAAATTGTTTTGAGAGTTTGTTTTGTTTTGCTTTAATTTTCTTTTCCTCTTTGTTACTGACCACGTAAAAAGCACGCCTAGTACCAACAAGATGATTGTTGCATATTCTACAGCTAGGCAGTTCCTCGAGGATCATCAGTCTTTCACTAGTTTACAATCATCATCTTTTAATCAAATTTATTTAAATCCTCTCACTTTTCTATGTGTATATACATACACACACACACAAATTCTTCACTTAAATCAGTATTGGTATAATTGAGTAAATCTTTCCATGTGGTTTATGGAACACCTGGTTTTATTTGTTTTTTTAAGTTTAGGGTTTCTTGTTTTGGATTTGGGTTGTTTGGTTTTTTTTGCAGGGAGAAACGGAGAAAATATATTTGTGTTAAATGATTCCTTTCCATGATTCCAAAGAAATAAAAATTCATTTGGAATCATTTTCATATGTTCTCTACATTTCCCTTTCACCTAGCAGTAATAGTGACCTACCCTTCAAACACCTAAGGCCATCTATTAGGAGAGGCTGGTGATAAGCAGTACCACTCAGCAGAATCAGAGCTGAACACTCTCATCCATACTGTAGCTACACCAGGCCTGCTCCAGGAATTCACAGCAATTTGCATTGTGCACTGTAGGATGTGAAAGACCCAAGGTAATGGATTTCTTGTTGGAAGATAGGATTACAAAACTGACCTCTGTTAACAGTGCATATAAAACTGTAGAACTGTAATAGTTTAACAGCAACATTATTTAGGAGATGCTCTACACTTGCAAAACTAATTCCCACGTATTCCTGTGTATGATTCCCATACACAGTATTTTCCTCCTAAGTTAAACTTTCAAGTGATAATACAGTTTGTAAAATTCATGACATTCTACTCAAGAAAGATAATTTAAGTTACTCAGTTTTTTGGTTTTTTTAAATCATATATGTTCCTTAACAGACATGACGCAGCTATCTTGCTTGAATAAATGTGCCACAATACCTTCCCTACTGACAATAAATCACATTCACATTTGTAGTCGTATTTTCCTTCTTGTGTGTGTGAGGTGAGAGAGTTGTTAGGTTTTTCCTTGTTTGTTTGCTTTGTTTTTAAATAAAGATGCTAGTAAAGAAATGTTGAGACTGAAGAAATCTATGCAAGTTTGCTGAAAGCAGGAAAGCCTAGACTTGAGATAAACTAAAACTTCAGTCCATGAAAGCAGCTATCATTACCCATGTTGTAGTTTTGGTATTGTGGTCAATAAAGAACGGTCTTCCATTAGGTGCATGCCGAACTTCCCAGCCTTTAGGGAGAAATCCTTGCTCCATTTCAGGCTGCTGATTAGAAGACTGTTGTGATGAATCACCTGATGTTGCTTGTGGCTGTCTTGCTATAGAAGTATTTTGTGCAGTTGGCAACTGACCTGCTTCCATAGCAATCTACAGGCAAAAAAAAAACAGAACAAAAATAACACTAATAAAGAATGTCTATAGAACAATGTATTTTATCTTAATGTTTAGGTACTAATATTTCTTGATTCATGAAAGCAGTTTCATAAAGGAAATGCCAAACAGTAGACAGGTTTGTTTATCAACAACATGACTAACAATCACAGATTAGGCTACCAAAGTTGAAAGATGTTTTTCAGGCTTCCCCAACAGCTATCACATTCCAGAAGGCTTTCCTGCTACACTAATCGTAGAGTGACTTACCATAAATACTGCTGTTACTAACTCCAGTTGCACTCCCTCAGATTTTTGTGATTTGTTATCAGGTTATGCCTCTCACATGTTTTATTTCAAAGAGATCTCTAAACTTAACTCCTATTATGTGAGGTGTTTAAAGGGTTTCATATGAATGAAAACAGTAATTAGAATACAGAAAGTACCTGTACAACTGGTTTTATCCAAGTAGTAGTTCTGGAATTGTGATCTATGTAATATGACCTCCCTTTTTCATCTTGTCTTTCTTCCCAGCCTGGCGGTAATCCAGATGAAGTAGGCAGTAACTAAATATTAATGATAACAAAAGAAGAAACAGTTAGGAAAATTATGAAACTGACTATGAAATGGCTTTCCCTTGCCAAATTAAAAAAATAATAATTAACAAGATCTAAGATTTTCCATGGACTGGAGAATTAGAAAATTAGTGTTTAAATCCTTACTGAAGTATCAAGTGACAGAATTATTTTATTTATTTACTTTTAATTCAAGCTTCTCATCCAAAAGGATTAAAAAGACTAGTTTATTTATCTGCTTTAGACTTGGCTGATCTAGCCTAGTACTTCTGGCTAGGAACTCATAATTTTGCAGCATCACCATGAAAATGCAACATAAGGACAGTTGTGTAGCCTTTATTATAAAAGTAAATGATTTTAGAAATGGTATTTCATGGGAGAATCATTTCCCATAAGCTCTATCCACGCATTAAGTAATCTTAACCTGAAAACATGAAGTTGGAAGATGGAAGCTTCATAACCGAACTTCAGACTTGCTAGACTCTGATAACTGCAACATTATCAGGAGAGCTGCCAGGAGCCCATTATACATAGCTAAAATAAAATGTTCTACGTCCTCCAACTTCTGTGCTACACAAGCCTCTGATCAGTACATATGTTTTGAACTAATGTTTTTGGATGATGACATACCACTGGATGTGCAGGCTGCTCTTCAACTCTGTATGTTTGCAGACTACCTCTTCTGCTGGAATGATTCTTGAAATAGCAGAGAAGAATGGCATATTAGCTATTATTGCAGCTTTAAGGACAACAGCAAACTGTAAACTATGATTATCACACCTTAAACTGTTACAGTTTTCATTTTGAAAATGTTATTTGCTTTGAAATGACCTTTTAAAAAAATTTTTGTAAACTGATGTTTCAACACTGTTAGTAACACTGTTCACAGCATCCACTGTAACTTCAAAGAAAATTAATAAGACACTTGAAAAAGCTCTGAAAACCCTAACAATAGGTATTTTGGCATTTAAAACATCAGTTACTTGCAAACAGTTAATTACAATTGAATTTACATTATAGAACTCATCACATTATTTTGTCAGTGGACTACAGCCTATGACACATCAGAGTCAACACAAGTTTATTTAAATAAGACATGAAAGACTGCGATAATAGCTTTCTGAAATAGGTGGTTCAATTACTACAGTTTGTATTAGCATACAGTTTGTATCCCATATTTCTGCCTAGAGCTACTTTTTATATCTCATTTGCTACAATTAAGCAATTGTATTTCATCCTCCTCCAGAAGTTTCAAGATTACTTGTTCTCTATGTATCTGTGCATCCTCTTAGGATGTTTCAGAGAACTCCTAGAATATTTCAGAGAAAACAATTGATTTTGTGTGGTTTTTTTTGTTTTGTTTTATTGTTTGTTTGGGTTTTTTTGATTGGTGGTGGTGAAGGGATGCAAGACTGTTGTTCTAGATGGCTGTTACAAATAACATGAACATCTCTTTCTTCCTTTACATAGGCTACCCACCAACCAAACAGAAATAATGATTTTCTTGGTATCCATAGGATGCTGAATATGTAAGTCTTGTGACTCTACCTTCACTATTTCCAGAACCTTAAGATGTCTTTGTAAAATCTTACAAAAACACAAGCAATTTACATTCAGGTCACATTTGGAACGGCAACTTCAGCATCACAAGAGTTGGTAATCTCATTTAAATACTGACATCTTATGCATCATGTGGTCTGGGTCACCTCTGCAGGTTTTCCTCAATGAATAGCGGATTTTTCAAGTCATACATTTATACATATCAGTTTACAAGGCCATTTGTGAAGGCCAGGTTTCATAAGACAGCTAAGCCTATTTAATTGCTTGCTGCCACCAAAAAGACTCACTCATTGCTGTGTGCTCCTGCTGTTTTCCCCTTGCTAATATAGCATTTTTCAGACAACCTAGGGTGCTCTTTTAACTTGCTAAAACAGCAGAAAACAGCACTGAGGAGAAAAAGCAGATAGTTTTCTGCTGGGCTAGTCAGCTGAATAGACTTACAGGAAGTTAGACAGATTTCATAACTGGTGCAAGATTTCAGAGCTGTATGAGCGAAGTCTCTTTTTTATTGCTATGTAGTCATCAAGTTTACTCAGCCCAAATCATAGAACCTTATCCCAATATTTGGGATGAAAAATGAGTTACCTTTAAACTTGTCCTAACAGAAGAAGTTAGCAGTATGGATCTATTTCCCTAGAAATAAACATTTAGGATGATTATAGACAGCTTTCTTCATCTGCACTTTTCAGCACTACTCAGATCAGCATGATGCTGGAATAAAAGGTAGATTTAGATTCTGAAAAACAGTTAATGCAAGCCTCAGACTCAGGCAGAAATTCCTGTTCTAGATAAGTAAAGCGGGGAATAATAAAATCTTTGCTTGTATAGTAAAATTACTCTTAAATTCTTAACATTTGAGATGAAATTAAAAATAAAACAGCTGATACAAAGAATTTATTATAACAATTTTAACAATGAGAAAAAATAACTTACAGTGTAGGCTGCTGACTGGCCAGTAGCTGAACTTCCAGAAGTGGTAAGCCTGGTATTCAGCTCTTCTGCAAGATGAGTCTGTATATCACAACTGTTCTGTGGCACAGGTATTTGAGGGTTCTCATTGCTATATAAAGTTGCCTCATCTTCAGTTATAATTTCCCAGCTCTTCAAAAAGAAACAAAGAAAAAATATTTTTTAAATAGTTTTACGTTATAAATACTTAAAATAAGCTTCTTGACTAGAGGTGAAAGCCTACTTGCATTCCAGAAATATTTACATATCATTTTTACCTCAGGAGAATCTCTGCTGTCTAGATTTTCTGTATCTTCTGATATCTGCCGCCTATGAGTGAACGCGTGCTGGGCCTCCAACTGCATGTTACCAATATCTGCTACAGCTACATTGTCCCTATTGAAAAAAAAAACACATCCATATTAATGTTTTACCTTTCAACAGCAAAAAATAACTTTACAGTTGTTTTGGATGGAGAAAGTGAAGCAGTCGTGAGCCATACAATTAACGTGACCAGTAAAATTAAACAACCAGATAGCATTTCAAGTATTATTTTTTGAATGCATATGCTAACGGACAAAATCTGTAGTCTAAAAAAGAAAAAGAAACAACAAAACACCAAGGTAAATATAGTCACTGCAGGGAAGGAAGAACCAGTCTTAGAGCTGCAAAATAATCTCCGCAGCATTTCTATATCATCTCTTACAACTACAAGCAGTTTCAATTTGAACATAAGCTTCCAGAGAGTAGGAAAGATGTTTTGTAGTTAAATGGACCACTAGTTAATGACCAAGACATATGGGCTTGAATGTTCAGATGTGGAAAGGTCTCAGATCTAATTCTCAAAGTATGGATTTTCTAGTTCTTCCTGCCTTCAGTGCAACTAGAGAAAATTGAAAACTAATGTAAGGCTCAAATCTTCCGGCCAAAAGACATACTGAGCAGTTGGTCTTTTCCACTGTGTTCTTCTGAATTCATGATTGACATAATAGGTCCTGCCAAGGATGTCTTGTCTTTCTTCCCAGCCTGAAGGCAGTGGAGGAGATTCCTGCTGCTGCTGTTGTGGCTGGTTAGAAGCATCCGGTTGGTCCAATAAAATCCACCCAGGCTAAGAGACACAATATTAACTGCTTTTAATTTGCATTACCAAAGTGAAAAAGTATCCCAAATTACTAAATCGTCACCTTTTTAAGGTACAGTTCTACTATATCTTAAACCACTAAGATTGGCTCTCAGTTTTGTTGTATCTCTTAAGAAACGAGAGGACAGACTTCTGCATGAATCACTTTACTCTCAAACTCAAGTTCTTGAAATGTAATAACAAAAAGACATATGGAAATACGGCAATGCAGTATAAGAACAAAACTGAAGTCTAATGTACATTTTTCCTTTTATGGAAAAGAACAACAACTACACTCCTTCAGATAGAAAAACTATTTTACACTGACTCACAGCTGTACAGCAAGACACAAGCAATCAGGTCTAACTGCTTGTTTCTAAAAATATTTGGTTACTACCCTTAATAGCTGAAGACCAATGTTTGCTAGGTTTCTCAGCAAAAAATATATATTCCCACCTCCAATTCCTCGGCCTGTTCTGTGGTTTCTTCTTCAGATCCATTGCTTTTAGGTAAGTAAGTCATCTTTAATCTAAGGTGACCTTTAACTCTTGATTTATGGCTGTAGAGGAGAAAAAGTGTTCTTACTGTGCACTTGTGAAGCTGTTACAAAATTCAAAGCTAAGTAAGTCCAGCTGCAGGATTATTTTGAATCTTCTCTACATAAACTTGACATTTTATGGTTTCAATTAACCAAGTTCTATGATGGTATCAGCTTTAAGACTTGGGAACACACCCCAAAGTGCTAAAAATCTAAAATCAAGTGATGTAAAATTCTTCAGATTACCTTTTCTGCTAACAACATGGCTGAGAAAGAACTACATAACCCATATCTAGAAAGCGTTACCTGAAAAAACACTGACATGCATTTTATGAATTTTATCTCCATTGCTCTACATTGCTGATTGAGGTTAAAAATCTAAATTTAAAAACAAATACAAAACGTGTAAGACTAAAACCAATACCAAAGTGTTCTGTATTTTATCATTGCTTGTTTTCTTAACAGGACTTTTAACATGTGAGCAGCTTTTCAGTTTAAGCTTTGTTATGTAATTAAAGTCATATGAAAGTTTATGAGAGGCAAGCAACAGACATCTTTTAAAGAAAGGGAGAAAACAATTTCAATTTGAAAAAGAATTTAAACAAATGCTGACTTTAGCAGAACCACAAATATTTTGCTCCATTGAAATTCAAGTTTCTGTGATGAAAACATGAAAATGTAGACAATATTTATGTACATACAAGAATTTACATAATTGAATTGTTTGGATATGTAAGTTAGAATTTATATGTGGTATTTACTAACCTTCTTGGATGAAGAACAAAATCCCTAAAGGTATATGGTCTCTCCATACTTGGATGTTCTGTCTGGAATAAGAGAAGTTTTTTCAAGAAGTTTGTATCATTGAACATTTGTTGTTTAGGAAAGCTATCAGAAATTTTAAATCAGTTTTTTAAAGTCTATGTAACTTTTTACATTTGAATTACGTGTTCAGTTAAAGCTCTGGCAATCAAAGCCAACTTTTATTGTAGGAATGAAGTTAATTTCCCAGTTCAAGGAAAAAAAAAGAGCAATGAATCTTTTCAGGGTGTAAAATATACATACACACATCACAGTTTCTAAAGCACAGGCATAAGGAAAAGAAACTGTTTAGCCTGAAATCGGTCGTTTCTCAATTTACGCATTCAAAAGATCTGCCATAACTTTTTTTTCCCCTGCTTTGGTATTTTTCAAATATTCTTACGCAGAACTGATGTGAAAAGCTTTGGGATTTGGCAAAAATGAAAATCTTTAAAAAAAAAAATGAGAGGAATCCACTCTTGAGAACAGCTCTTCTGATTCTTGAAAGTGAAGTTGCTCAACAGAAAGAAACACAGAAATAAACAGACATGATTTTATATTTATAAATATATATCCTGGGTACAACTACAGAAATATACATGGAGGACCATGTACAAGAGAAAAAAATTGCACTTGTTTGTAGAATTTTTAATTGAAAAAAAAATGCCAGATGATGCAATTCCATAATGGTATTTTCAAAAAAATGTCTAAAAAATATCAATATTTGATTGGGAAGAAGCCAAAAATTCCAGGACATAAGGTTAGCCATTATTACATTAAAGATTTTTGAGTTTTTTGTTTTTTTTTTTAAAGGCCCCTGTCTTTGTCATTCAATCTTGCTGAATATCTACTGTACTGAATCTCAGAAAGAAAAATGCTATCCTATATAGCAGACATTTCAGTGTAAGTATTAAAATAAATACCTCTCTGAAAGTAGAATGGAATTAAGCTGTCTTTTTTTTTTTTCTGCTATGCCTGCCCAACATAACACATTAAAATGCTATGGAAAGACATGAGAGGAAAAAAAAAAAGGAGAAAATATATGTTTTGTAATCATGCTGCTTATTTTTCAAAAACAAGAATTGCTTTGGTTCAATACGAGGTTAGCCTTTAATTAATTAATTTTGGTTTTGGATCTGTTCACTATCTCACTGCAGAGAGGACTTAACCTCTTAATGTACCCATGACTACCAGCCCTTCTTAGTTATAAGCAGTCTGCATTCACACAGCACCAAGGAAAACAAGATGAGAACCAAAACTACATGCAATAATGAATTTGTAATATAAACTGATTTCATTTATCCAAAAATAATTTTATTTATCAAAGATGCACTTACTTTTGTAAATGAAAGATTTTGTTTCAACAACAACAAAAATCCACTTATGTTTGGGCCAATGAAGCACAGTAGATTTAGATGGCAAAAACAAGCAATTGGGAACCATGAAGATGGAAACAAAGGGGACAGGGAAATGCTGACCTTTGAGGAAGGTAAGAAAATGAATGTGAAAATACCCAAGTGAGACTACATAGGTCTGGCTAAAAGCAATGCACCAATATGTGATGCTGCTGCCCAGCTTCCCATTGGGCAGGAAGAAATAACTTTCTCCAGAGGGACATCACAGCTACTTGTCCCTGAGCAGGGTGCTGCGACCTCACATCCTGCCTACAGCAGGAAGCAGGACAGGTCTGTCAGTACTCTCTAACATTTTGAAATATCAAAAAAAAAAAAAAAGAAAAGAAAAGGAAAGGCTTACTTATTTCAGTGTTCTTGGTGATCTTCCCTGAAAACTAACAATGTGCTTTGCAAAAGGAATGCAAAAATGTACAGATGTACGGAACAAGGCTAGTTCTGTTTTCCACTTATTTTCTTGTGCATTTATTTGTGGGAATAAGAACTAATAGAAGTAAATTTATGTAACATTCAAAGCAACAAAAAAAGACTTTAAACAAAATATTAAGAAATATGATAATTATCATAATCTATTCTTGTCTTTAAGACAGCTTAAAATATTTCCTTTTTATTTTTGAAAAAGTTACGAGCACTTCTAACTCTCATAGCAGCAGAAATCAATACCTACATGCATGTTAAACTACTTTTTTTTTTTTTTATAAACACCAGCAGTAAACAAAAACACAACAGGAGAATTCAATCACTTACATCATCGGTAGGGTTTACTTCTTTAGGTGACTAAAACAGTTCCTTACAGAATCCCTTTTCTTTTTCACATTGTTAATACAAAACAAAAGAACAAAATACCAACCGGTAACTGATAAAGGGGAATATCCACTTGCCCAAGGAAATCATCTCGAGTCTAGAAAAAACACAAATGAAAAGCACAAAAAATTTAAAGTCACAGTGTCTTAGAAACAATACTTCAAACCCCTGATAACACAGTAAAGCTTTTTAAGATCTTCAAGACGGAGCTGAAGCACAGACAAGAAAACTTTCTGCATAGAACAAGGTCTGACTGGCTTGGTACCTGAGTCTTGGACAGTCTTGTCTTCTTTAAAATAAATGGCATTTGACAGAGCTATGGGATTTTTAAAATTATTATTATTTAAAATCAAATGGACTACTGCCAATCAAACAGAAGAGAGTTGTTCAGTCAGGACTGAGACCATCGGCATCCCCAGTAGAAATGCTGTCTTAAAGGGCAGAAAGTAAAGATGCTGCCATTAGCTATTCCAGTAAAACAGTTGTCATGATATATGCTTAAACAACTGAGCATTTATCACAAAATAACACAGAATTATTTACAGACCTTTCTGCTAGGAATGCCTGAAATCGGTATGAACTTAGGCAGAATGTCTAACATAAGCATCTACTAAATTATTTTTCGCTTCAAAATAATACAGCTAACTGTCAAAAGTAAGAGGAAGTAAGAGTAAGTTTCATCTACGATAAGTGCTTTGGAACTTGCAGCAATTCCAGCTGTCCCAAGCCTGCCAGCAGGAGCCTGAAATACGGCATCTGCCTTATCCCATCTGACATGCCTGCTGACATCTGAAAGTGCACTAAAATTCATTATATCTATGAAAAATACCATTGGCCTACTCTCACCACAGAGTTTAGCTTTAACATGAAAAATCTGCAGAAGCCTATCCTGATTTAGGATGTCTCGTCAGATGCCCTGATTATAACCAGACAATGAACGCAGCTTCACCGCCTCTCTCAGCCTATTCTTTAGCACAATTTAGGCATGGACAACAACGTACAGAATTGTTCACTGGTGATCACTGATTTTTTACTTCTACAGAAATTAGGATTTGAAGTGGGTCACTACAGCAGTGCCCAAGAGTCAGACCAATGGTCGCAGTACTTCACTTGACTTCCCACAGAAGCATAGGTTGTGTTGTTTCAAGTCCACTTACAATTTGAAATCTTTACAAACCTTCACAAAGGCAGGAAAATGTATCACATGGGTCATTCAACACAAATACACATCACCACCTGTGTGCTAAAATCAAAAGGGTGTGAAATATTTAAAATTGTTGAAGTTCTTGCATAGACAGACTAGCAATTGTGAAAGTCCTTGACACTGTAGCCTGCACAGCCCCTGGATGTTTCATCCTCCTGATTTATTTATTTTTTTTAAACAGCTAACAAAAGTTTCAGTGGCTGCTCTTTCCTAATTTTTATTGGTGTACCACAAGCTTTTATTCAAATTCACAACCTAGGGACTTTCATGGTCTTCTTCCATAAGTTTCCATGACCAACTTCCATATTTCATTGAAATATATTCCTTTCACCTCAAGGCAAAGCTGTGCATTCCACCTTCCTTCTAGCACAGCTATATTTTTAGTTTTCCAAATGCTAAAATTCCCACTCAATTCTACTCAATCTTTTTTGTCTTACTGACAGCATTTGAACACCTCTGACTGTAAAGGATAAATATATATATATAGGCCTTTCTTCAAGCAGCTATTTCTTCCTCAATGCTCCTGGTACCTTTTTTCCCTAGGTCTGTCATCCCAAGTTTGTCCATTTCATCTTTAAATTGTAGATATATATGGAAAAAGTGCCTCACATTTGTATGAGTTAATTGACAATTGTAACTTAAACTCTAATTTTTATAATCCCAAAAAGCACAATATGCAACTAGACTGCAGAGCTCATCACATAGTAATGTGCTGGAAATGTACAGATACATAACCTTAAATTAAATTTATAGCATGTGTGCCTTGTGTTCAGTTTCCAAGAAAAAAAACCTACTCACAAATAAAACAAAACAAAAACACTTCCCCCTCTCCCTTCCCCCCTTCCCCCCTCCCCCACAAAAAAGAAAAAGCTACCACTTTTTTAGCTCACAAACTGGTTTGGGATAGAAAGCTACAACAGGTTTTCATATCGGAAGAGTCTGAAGGTTCCCTGACCTAGTAAAGAAAAACCTTCTGTATTATTATAGACCACAAAGTTCTGGAAAAAATATGGCTATCATTTCTGCCTATGAGGTTCTTTTTTAAAAAGGCACAGCACATACCTTAGACACGTTAAAAGGCTTAGTATTTGTAAAGTTCTTGGCAATCCTCAAGTGGAACATGCCTTTCAAATAAATTACTGGAATGTGGGACAAATGTCTGCTGCGTTTTAGAAAACCTCAGAACATTGTGTTTGTTACCAGCGTAATTTTAGTATGTGCTCCTGTTATTCACTTTATTATTCTGCTGTCTCTCCTGCTATTTTTAGTAGAGCTAGCCTCGATAACCAACCTTTAACAGTACTTTCTCCTCCAGCCAGCGAGTAAAATCCTCCAGCTGAGATTTTTGTTGACCTCCAAACTACTAATACATAGATCAGATAGCAGGAATGCTGCTTAGCAGTGTGCCTCACTCCGACAAGTTGACTAACTGCCTTCAAAGAAGTGCCAAAGAAGCTCTGAAACAGACTTCGCACACATTAACAATTAAATGCCAGTGGAGCTGAAACTGTCTGCATCTCTGTTTCACGACAGCAGGCATCCCAGTTCCTTTAGCAAAGACAAGTGAGTCAGTTGTTCTTGTCAACTTGTAACTTCTTGACAGCCAGAGAAGTCAAACTTTCTGCTTGCCAAACCATAAGTGCATAAACCTTTATTAATGATATAGTACGCTAACAAAGAGGCTTTTTATTTTACTGATTCAGTGGTTTAGTCTATAGTAAGTTATTAAAAACATGCGAGGACAGACAGCAGCTGTATCCAACACGTTTAAAGAACTTCAGTGCAGTGCAAAAGCGAGTGCTCAGAAGGCTACAAACACTGAAAAAGTAATCCAGACATACCTGAATTCCAAAACTCATTCTCATCTGCTTTATAAATATATACCTAATAAGCCTTAGATGTGATGAATAAACCACTGAAAGACGTGCTTATCTGAGTATAACAGCGTCGTCACACTGAGTCATGCATTAAAGAGCAGTACTTAGAACACTACCCAAAATTTATCAAGTTTGAGTAGATAAAACTGACTTTAATGCCTTCCTTAATTGCTGGATTCATCACAGTACCACTTCAAACAGCTCTTATACAGATGTTGAGAGAACATATTCTCTCTACCATATTTCTCTTTTGTGACTAGGTTTTTTGTTGTTAGTCCATGAAGTAGATCCTAAGTATATTCTCAGTCCTTTTCTGAACAGCCAGCTAGTTGTACACAAGGTTGGTCTTCAGCCACAATTCTACAGCTGTATAGGAAAAGGAGAACGCATACATCTCTTATACAATGGAATATAAAGTATTGATTCAAACTGAAAAAACAAACAGTGATCCAGACTATCACTGCTTAAGAAAACAAGAGTTCAATAGATCTCTATAAAACCAACATTCTTTTTGCTTAAACACCCAAACACCAATGTTACTTACAAGCTTGAAGAGAATGAAAAAGTACCAAACCCAAACAAAACTTTCCTGGGCTATAATAACAACTTCAAGTGTTTTTCTTTTTTGTGCTGCACTGAGTATATTATTTGGCTCTCTAAAACTCTAAATCAGGAGAATTGAGCTTTTTTTCCTTCCACAAAATACTGCCAGCACACGCTATTCATCGTAGGAAAATAGCAAAATTGAATTATCATGTTAAGATCTTACCAAGCTCATGGATTCTAAATGCAGTGTTTTTTCTTAACTTGCAAAGCCATAAATACCTTGTTGCACAGAATTCATTAAAGCCTCAGACTCCTGCATTTTTTACATGTCAAAGGTAAATGGTGAGGGATTTTTTTTTTAATAAGAAATATAAGCATTCCTTTTTAATTGGCATTAATGAACAAATACAATTGACAACTACTGAGATAAAAGTGGAGAAAATACCTATTGGTAGAGAGATGGTTATTACACAACATATGCTCCTGCAGGACTTTCAGCCTGGCTGGCTGCTTCCAGAGGAAGGTGTCAGCATAACATGCCTCAGCAGTTTTACCATCTGTTTAACAGACAGCATTTAGAAATGATACGAGTTATTTTCACTAATTCCCCCTCACTTCTAAAGATATTTTCAGAAAATTTCTGCTCTACAGAGACCAGAGCAAAAATATCATATTTTTTCATTTATACCTTATACTTTTTATACAGAATCTGTATGATATGGGTAGATACATTTAAAGTCTGTATTTAACCTACAGCAATTTGAAAGCATTATTCACATATTACTCCATTTAATGTTTGCTATTTGAAGAACCCGAGCTTACACATTCATTAAAAAAGCAATTTAAGATAGGTTTGGGGTTTTTTGGCATTTGAGATCCCATTTTCACACAGGTCACAGGATAATAATTTGTTGTCTTGTATAACCAAAGTATACTTAAGTACAAGAGAGAACAAGTCAAAAGTTAGTAAAGGGTATGTTTTATTCATCAGGAATTTGAGTTCCCTTGATTTTACGCACAGATGTGCCAAATAAGCTACTATATAAAAAGCAGGAGTATTAGATTTTATAAAAAGTCAAGAGCCAATTCAAATTTGGCCTCCTCTGTTAATCCAGTCAACATTTCAAAAATTATATTAAAAAATAATAATCATAAAACTGCACCAAATATTTGCTTAGTTACTACTTTGATAATCTGTTTCCAATATCAAGACAGTTAACTTTATAATAGTATAAAAACATAAAACTTTTGCATCTATTTGTGGGAGCTTTTGTGCCAAGTCTTATGACTTCAGTTAAGGTTTGAGAAACAAACTCTTGTAGTAACAATTCCAGCTGCACTTTTTAACCTTGACTAATTCACACCATAAAGGTTAAAACACTCAAAAAATGTAAAACCCTATCAAATGTTTAAATGCACGTGTAATTTTCTCCCTGAGAAACAGATCAAACCAGATGTGACAGATCTTAA